TTGTTTTGAGACAGAGTTCCGCTCTGTTGCCCAGGCTGGAGTGCAGCAGCATGATCTTGGCTTCCTGCAACCTTTGTCTCCCAGGTTCAAGTGATTTTTGTGCCTCTGCCCCCCAAGTAGCTAGAATTACAAGTGTGTGCCATCATGCCCAGCTAATTTTTGTATTTTTTAATACAGGCGGGGTTTTGCTACATTCACCAGGATGGTCTCCAACTTCTGGCCTCAGATGATCTGCCCACCTCAGCCTCCCAAGGTGCTGAGATTACACACATGAACCACCTTGCCCAGCCTCATCCTCATACAGGAAAATCGTTTCCTGTATGACATCAGACATATTTCCTCGTATGTCTGATGTCATGCAGCGTGGGTCTCTCCCTAGCAGACTCGTTTCATTTCACCTAATTGTCTTCCAGGTTTCTCCAAGTGGTTGCAGATCACATGATTTCCTGAAGTGTTACAGCTGATGTGTGTTTCCTTGTGTATATATACTGTGGTTCCTTTATCCCTTCATCTGTGGATAGACTGGTAGGTTGATGCCGCATCTTGGCTGTTGTGACTAGTGCTTCAGGACACATGAAAAGGCAGATAACACAGGGATTTCATTTTCTCTAAACATGTACCCAGTGGTGGGATTGTTAGCTGGAGTGGCAGTTGTACTTTTACCTTTAGTTTTTTATTTTTTAAAGATGGAGTCTTGCTCTTGTCGCTCAGGCTGGAGTGCAGTGGCGCGATTTCGGCTCAATGCAAGCTCTGCGTTCAAGCCATTCTCCTGCTTAAGCCTCCAGAGTGACTGGGCATACAGGCACCTGCAACCACGCCTAGCTAATTTTTATATTTTCAGTAGAGACGGGATTTCACCATATTGGTGAGGCTGGTCTCGAACTCCTGACCTCAGGTGATCCAACTGCCTCGGCCTCCGAAAGTGCTGAAATTACAGGTGTGAGCCACCGCGCCCAGCCTACCTTATACTTTTTTAAGGAACTTCCAAAAGTTTTTGTAGTGTGTATAGTAACTTTCATTCCACAAAGAGTGTAGAAGATTTTTTTTTCTGCAAGTCTACACTGACCATTGCCTTCAACAGTTTTGATTTTTGTCTTTTGTAATACTCATTCTAGGTAGAATTAGATGGTAACCGAGTATGGTTTTGATTCATGTTTTTGTGAGGATTAGTGATATTGAGGAACTGTCACCTGTGGGTCAATTTCCTGCTTTCTTTTCACTCAGGTCTATTTAGATCCTTTTACCTTGGATATTTGTTGTTTTTGTTCTTGTTGTTTTTCACTTAGTCATATTAGTTTATTGTCTGTGTTAGATAATAACCTCTTTCAGGGTTAGGATTTTTTTCATTTCTCCCAGTCTTTAGGATTCCTGTTTTTTGTTTCATTGTTTCCTTTTCCCTGTAGAATTTGTAAAGTGTCCCTAGTCACATATGGTTATAGTTGCATATGTTAGCAGTGACTTTTGTGTTCAACACCCCACTTCCACAAAACACACAAACATGCGTGTGCCTGCACGCGTGCGCGCCCACACACTCACACACACGGAGCCAAGCCTTGCATTGTCTATGGGTGTAGTTTCCCTACTTTTTTTTTAGTGTTGTGATGCTTTTTTACCTTTTGCAGCCTGTTTGCATAGATTGAGGGTTTCCTAAAATATACACCCGCTCTATGTTTTCTTATAGGACCTTTACAGTTTCAAGATTGAGTTTAGGTCTTTACTTCATTTTGTGTTGATTTTGTGTATCGTGCATTGTAAGGGTCCTATTTCAGTGTTTTTCCTGTGGATATTCAGTTTTCTCAAAATCAATAATTGAACCAGACTCACTTTCCCATTGTATCTTTTTGGGGTTTTGAAAACTGTGTTCCCTACATATCATGTTGGATAGAGTATTTGGCTGCCTCATTGTGTCACTTAGGTCCTCGTTCTGTGTTTGTGACAGTCATGGATTGTTTGAATAACTACAGATTGTTTTTTCATTTATTATTTTCTTTGGTTCTAACCTTGGATTTTTCTTTTAGTGCTTTCTACTCTTATGATTATAGTTTAAAGGGTACACATGCAAGTTAGTTACATCTGTTGATTGCATGACGCTGAGACTTGGGGTCCCGACAACCCCATAACCCAGGCAGTGAGCAGAGGGCCCTCAGGGTGGGTCTTCAGCACACGTTCCCTCTCCCCTGTTTTTGATTGGTCTGGTGGTCATTCCAGGTGTCTGTTGTTCTCTTTATGTTTGGGTCTATTCAAAGTTTAGCTCCCGCTTATAAGTGAGAACATGTGGCGTTTGGTTTACTATTTGGGCCTTAGTTCCAGTGGTCTGCAGTTTCCTCCTTCTATTCTCAGGTGATCCTCCCACCTCAGCCGCCGGATTAGATAGGACTACAGGTGCCCACCACCACATCCAGCTAATTTTTGTATTATAGACATGGGATTTCACCATTTTGCTCAGACTTGTCTTAAATTCTGGACTGAAGTGATCCACCTGCCTCGGCTTCCCAAAGTTCTAGAATTATAGGTGTGAGCCACTGTGCCAGCCTCTCATCCACTGTTGATGGCTAGGTTGATTCCATGTCTTTGAAAATGTGAATAATACTGCCATGAACGTATGAGTGCCTGTGTCTTTTGGATAGAAGGATTGATTTTCCTTTGGGTAGATGCACAGGAGTGGGCTTACTGGATGAGATGGTAGTTCTGGTTTCAGCTCTTTGAGAAATCCCCGATCTGCTTTCACCGGTGTCTGTACTAGTTTTCATCCCCACCAAAACACACCAGCATTTCGTTTTCTCGGCTGCCTCACCAGCGTGTGTTCCTTGTCTGTGTGGGCATCACCCTTGTGACCTGCGAGGGATGGCATCTCATCATGCTTTTGATTGGCAGCTCTCTGGTAATGAGTGACTTTGAGCATGTTTTCCTATTTGTTAGTTGCTTGTACATCGACTTTTGAGAAGTGTGTGTTCACATCCCTGGCCTGTTTATTAATGGGATATTCTTTTTCTGTTCTCCTGGTTGACTTGTTGAAGGTCCTTGTAGATTCTGCATATTAGACATTGGTCAGATGCACAGTTCGGGAACATGTTCTCCCATTCTCTGTTGCTGTCTGTTTACTCTGTTGTAGTCTCTCTTGCTGTGCAGCAGCTCTTTCAGGTATTCGGGTATTCGGTCTGACTTGGCAGTGTTTGTTTTTGTTGCTGTTGCTCTTTAGGACTTAGCCATCTAAATGCTTTGCCAAAGCCTATGTGGAGAAGGATATTTCACAAGTTTTTAGTAAGATTTTAATAGTTTAGAGTTTTTACGTTTATATGTTTTATTCATCTTGAGTTCCTTTTTGTGTCTGGTGAGAGGTAGGGGCCTAGTGTTATTCTTCTGCACATGGCTAGCTGCTTATTTCAACACCATTGATTGAATAGGGTGTCCTTTTCCCTTTGCTTACTTTTGTGGATCTTGTGTTAGATCAGATAGTTTTCAGTGTGTGGTTTTACTTCTTGGTCCTCTCTTGTGTTCCACTGCTCTGTGTGGAAGCGGGTCCCTAGCTTTTCCATGAAATTTGAAATCAGGAAATGTGATGTGTCCGATGTAGTCTGGATGTCTCAGGATTGCAGAGGATGAAACTCAGGGAGCTTCATGGTCCCACCTGAATCAGCAGTGCGTATTTCTATTTCTTTCAGCAAATGTGTTTCATAGTAAAGAAACAATAGAACGAGAGGGTAGAGTGGGGCGTTATAGCCCATGCATACATTGTGGAATGATGAAATCAGAGTACTTAGTGTTTCTGTTACCTTTTCCGATTGTTTATTCTTTTATGCTGAGAACCTTCAGTATTCTGTCAAGCTGCTTTGAAAGTGATGTGCCGATACTGTTAACCCTGGTCACCCTGCAGTGGAATAGAACAACAGAATTTTCTTCCTCTCATTTATGTGTAACTTTGTACCCTTTTACAGTCCATGCCCATTACCCCTCTTTTCCCCCAATCTCAGGAAACCGATAATTGTGCTCGTCAGGTGTTTGAGATAGTTTCTCAGATTCTGCATGTGTGAGATGACTCAAGGTTTGTTTCTCTCCCCCTTTGCTCATTTAATTTACCACCATCTCCTCCAGGTGCAACCATGTGGTTCCCCATGATATGATTTCATTGTGGTTTTCTGTCTGAAGAGTATCCCGGTGTGAACATGTGGAACAGTTTCTTTCTCCCTTCGTCTGTGGATAAGCAGGTAGATTGATGCTTACACTGGCTCTTAGGAAAAGTGCTGGAATCCACATGGGTGGGTAGATCTATCTTTGGTGTCCTGATTTCAGTGACTTTGAGTGTATTCCTAGTAGTAGAATTGCTGGTTGAAATGGTAATTGGAGTCTTTTAAGGTTTGGAAGAACCTCCAAGTGGTTTCTGTAGTGTGTGTGCTAGTTTACCTTCTCACGAACTGTGGAGAAGAGTGTCTCTCTCTGTCTCTGGAAACACACCAGCATTTCCCTTTCTTTCAATGTTTTTTTTCTTTTTTTGTAACACTCATTCCAATTAGTATGAGATGATGTCTAAGTGTGGTTTTGTTTTACATTTTGCTTGTGGTTAGTGATGTTTGCCAGGTTATTGTGAGCTTGTTTCAGTTTGATGTGTAAGAGTGGGCAAAGGACGTGAAGACCTGAGATGGATGCACAGATTAAAGATTCTGAATCAACATTACTGATCCTCATGAGAAGTCAATCAAAACCACACTCAGATATCATCTCACTCTGGTGAGAACGCATGTTACCAAAATGGGACAACAATTTCATTGCTGTAGAGTATGTGTATGTAACCAGCAGGTGCAAGGAACAATTTGATCTGCGTAAACATAGCATCATAATGAAGTCGCAGTGTCTGGCATCTCTGTGAGCTCCAGACTTATGATTTCTCTGTGGAGAGAATATTCACAACTGAACTTTGTAGCTGTTTTGAAAATTGTGGTTTTCTGTTCTTGCCTTTTGGCATTATGGCCTATGGCTCTGTCCACGTTTCTGGTAAGGGCATGGATTTGTTTTTTATGGCTGTGTAGTGTTCCATGGTGTGTATGTACCACATTTCCTTTCTCTGATCCACTGCTGATGGGCACCGAGGCTGATTCCATGTCTTTACCATTGTGAGTAGTACTGCTGTGAACATACAAGTGCATGTGTGTTTTGGATGGAAGCATTTTCCTTTGGGTAGATCCTCAGGAGTGGGGTTGCAGCGCTGGGTAGTAATTCTCTTTTAAGTTCTTTGAGAAATGTCCACACTGCTCTCCATGGGATCTGAACTAGTTTGCATTTCCCCCTACAGTGAACCTGCATTTCTTTGCTCATCTGCCCCACCAGCCTCTGTTTGTGGACTGTGTGTCATAATTGCCATTCTGACCAGTGTGAGATGGTATCTCAGTATGTTTCTGATTTGCATTTCTCTGATGATCAGTGAGATCGAACATGTTTTTATTCTCATTGATCACTGGTACACCTCCTTTTAAGTGTGTGTTCATGTCCCTTGCTCATTTATAAGTTGAGTTTTTTTTTTTTCCTGATATTATTTGTTTAACATCTTTATGATAAATCCTGGATATTAGACGTTTTTCAGATGCATAGTTGAATATTTTCCCTCATTCTATAGGCTGTGGGTTGACTCTGTTGGTTTTTTCTTGTTCTGTGCAGCAGCTCTTTTGTGTATTAGGTCCCACTTACCAGTAAGTGCTGTTGTTGCCATTGCTTTTGGGGACTTGACATATAAATGCTTTACCAAAGCCTCTGTCGAGAAGGGTATTTGCGCGATTCTCGTGCAGGATTTTTTTATAGTTTCAGGTCTTGGATTTTTTTGTATTTATGTATCTATTTAGAGACTGAATCTTGCTCTGTTGTACAGGCTGGAATGCAATGGAGCGATCTTGGCTCACTCGACCCTCCACCTTCTGGGTTCAAGTGATTCTCCTGCCTCAGTGTCCCGAGTTGCTGGGAGTACAGGCACCATGTACAGCTAAGTTTTGTTTTTTTATTAGAGACAGGATTTCACCATGTCAACCAGGGTGGTCTCA